CTACTTTTATCTAACAGCATCCACTCAGTAAGCTGAAAGTTTACTTTGTGTTCTGTCTCTTGGTAGAAATTCAAGGCCCTAGGAATGCTGTGACTATACATACGAAAACAGGACCCAGAGTTAACAGCAAGGTTTAGTTTACTTTACCTCATTTATAATGATCCAGTGACAGTCAAAAGCAACCAAATTCGTCTCCACAACCTGGAAGAGAAAAGAACTCAGTTATCAGTCAGCATTAATTGTGGAAAACAAACCAAACTAAATAGATATACTTGCCAAATGGCAAGAAAAGTATACTACATGTTAGCAAGGTCTGTGTTACTCAAATGAAGATGGAAACTATTAGTAAAACACTGTGGAAGCACGTGTTCATCTCATAAATGCACTGTAGACTTGCTAATTAAGTTTGAAAATATAATCAAAAGCCTAGAAAAACAAAGGCTTCGATTGAAAAAAATATATAAATAACACTTCAGTGATTTAACTTAGAGTAGAGTTCCAATCATATTTCCTACTCCAAATAAACTTTGATGACCTTCCATTATCTACCTGAGAAACACCTAAGTACATATTCCTCCATAATCTGACTCTTAACATTCTTATCATCTATATCCCTGTGTATGTGTTTGTTATTGTCTTGACAAAGTAAAATGCTCTATGTTCTGAAAAGTTTTGTTCAAGTGTATTCTAAGGAGATCCAATCATAAAATTACCTGAATGTAAAGACTAAAAGCAATAAACATTTATACTAGAACATGTTATAGGTGGGTAATTTCAGTAGCTTTTAGACCACTAGTAATATGAACAGAAAGAAAACTTCTGTTAAAAGAAAAGTGAACTACTTGTAGGCAACAATCTTGTCTGGATAGCTATGGATAAATTGATTTGAAATGATCCTCAGCTAAGGACCTAAAAGTGACCCCTCTGTGTGTGTGTGTCTCTGCGTGTGTATAGTAGAGGTAACTTTTTTTAAATCAAGGTTTCCATTCTATCCAGTTTATCATACATATACTGAGACATGTTTTATAACTCATGCCATGGAGCAAATAGATCTGTAATACGCTAAACTGATTTGAAAGAGATTACTCCGTTATTTTCAGCAACAATACCACCTGCAGATTAGGTTTTAATTGAAGATACTTTCTAATAGCTAGCAAGGAATTGTTATAAAGTGCAAATTACTTTCGAGGGTTATTCTTTGAGGGTATTCTGAGAAATACCTACTGAAAGATGCACTGAATTATGAAAAATACAAATGGAAATAAATTTTTATGTGATTCAATGCTTTTTTAAAGTATATAATTATTTGCAGAATTCAAAAAAAATCTGGTATAGCTTTATACCACTTCCATATACATCATATAGATTCCTAGGACCTTACTAATGTGTATATATAATACAGTCTCATAGAAGGGAGGATATGTTATCTGTTTTTGAGTTATATCATTATCATTTTTTCAACAAATGCTCAACTTCTAGGTGAAACTTAATGTAGAAAATATGACTCATGCAGTTTTCAGTTTTTTGTTTTAGCTAAAAAAATTACTTTATACCAATGACACCCTTTATTTCTAATTTTATAATTATTTTTCTTTAATCATCTTAGACAAATTATCAGTAATTTATTAGCAACAAAATGTTAAAAAAAACAAATGAGAACACCATAAGAATTTAATGGAATACAAACTAGACTCACATATAAGAAAAGTAGTTCTCTGTATTAAAAAAAGAGAAATTATATTGAATACGGGGGGAAAACCCACATGACTAACATAGAAACATGAAGTATTTATAGAAAAGACAATGAAAACCAAAATATAGATTGAAAGTACTTCTCGAACAGTATTATTAGTAGAATGAAGAAATGACTCAATTTAGCTTAAATTATCCCCATTTAGACAATGTGTACCATGTGGCAAGATCAAGCAAAATTCACTCTATGAGAACTCTGTATTAACCTGTAGAACTTAAGTAAAGACTTACTTTGTGCAACAAAATTTATGAAATAAGTAGAAAGTAAGAGTTACCTTCTTGATATGATAATGATAACATAATAATGTGTCTATAATAACATTGATAATGTGTCTAGACCACAAAATTTACTCAACTTTCACACTCTGTCTTGAAATAAACTTTCAGGCAGAAGCAGAAAATAG